ATGCAACCTAATAAGGACACATGTACAGATGCCAAGACATTTACTGCAGAGCTAAATAGGCAAATGCAGTAAATGTCTCATGCAGACACACCCAATAAGTGTTGAAATCAAGGTTATCAGTTTGGTCCTGAATAAAAAAAAATATCAGATGCCACTAAATCACCACAAATATAACACAATTGCTTCTTGTGCACTGCAACCATGAATTTTACCCACTCCTCAGGAGAGCCCTGTCATCGATAATAGGATGTTCATGATCATGATGATTTAGATCCTGCTCTATTAGAAGCAGCCTCATTCTCCTCATTTCAAACTTTGCTTTTCCATGAAGAATAATGTAGGACTGGAGAAAAACAGGTCCAAGATGCCCCAAACTGAGTGCCCAGAAAGTCAGCCACCCAAATCTAGTGACCTCTTCTGCCTTTTTATGCCTTAGTCTTTTACAAAAGAAAAGGATGAACTCTTTTTCCCTTTCTGGCAGTGACCACTTAGGTCCCCTCTACACATTACAGGTATTGTGCAGTAAGTGGTTAACTGCACAATCAACTGAAACCATTTACACAAGCAAAGTACCTATCAGGCCATAAAAAGGTTAAAGTAGCTCCGCTAGACCTTGAAAATGTATACTAACTTTATAGCTGGTTGCTATCCAGATTTAATTTATACATGTAGCAGGGTCTCCCCTGCCATTGAGAGCCCTGTCAGCTGATGGGTCTCCCAGCTGTGGAGGTGCACCATTCCCAGCAAGAGCTGGGAGTCCGGCAAGTGAGGGGATTCAGCCTGGCAGCTGCTGATTCAGGATCCCAGCAGTACCCCATGGCTGCCAGGACCCAGAACCCCACAGCTGCAGACTCTGGGTCCTGGCAGCACCCAACTGCTGGGAACCAGCTGAGTCCTGGCAGCTGAGGGGCACAGCTGTGACCTTCCAGCCCTGGGCATGTGTGCAGCTGGAGCCAGGAGATCACAGCTGTCACAGTCTTCCAGCCCTGGGGGTGCATGAAACTTCTTGGGCTTGGGGACTGTGGCAGCTCAGAGACTGCAGCAGGGGGCTCCCAGCTATGGAAGCTTGCTCCTTGCCAGTGCAAGGGAAGCCTAGGATCAGGCTTCCCCTTCACTGGCAATACACCATGATGGGATCTAACACACGATCCCACAATCATTCATCCTGCCATACACATGTGGCATGACAGGAGACGTAATTGTGTAGGTTGTGCATTAGATCACATCATGAGTTACCTGCACGTACAGAGGGTCCCTTAATGACTTACAGCATAAACCTTGCTTTCCAAGGTTGCCGGCTGAAAGCAGCACCTCATCTCTTGCTGTATAAACTTCCCTGCCCCCCCTCTTCTCTTTAAGCTCTGTAAATAGCTCTGAGTTTTATTCTGAGGAAATATGCCTTGTTGGCTATAGGGGAGGAAGTTCGTGAATGAGAATAGCGCTGTACAAAAAGGCTCTCTACTTATGAGCCTTTAAACCCTTTCCAAAAGGTCTATACCTTTTAATAAATGAAGTAAATATGTTTAAAAATTCCCAAATTAAGCATGATATACACACCCGTAAATCTCAGATTCCAGCCAGTCAAGGGTTAAACTAGAGACTTTGGGAGGACCAGGGAAGATTTTAGCTATACACTATCTCACAACATTAGAGATGTGTAATACTGCATTTTTCATTTGCAGCCTTTTAAATGGAAAAACCCACCAACTGGCCTGGCCTTAATAAACATTATTTTGTAGTGGGTCACACACAATCTGACATGCATTTTCAGCTAGCAGTGCTACTGCTTATCACCTCAGCTACAGTTCTGCATGATTTGTAAGACACATGACATCCATCTTGGGTTAATCAAATTAAACTGCCTCCTAGCTAAGTGCCATTGGCCTGATAATACATAGTGGATTTTAGTTGTACTGTATGAAGAAAACAGCTCTGAGTCAGGTGACTCTGTTGTCCCTATTTTCAGCAGGTATCTGTGAAGTTGTTCTGTCTGTCACATGGAAATCAACATATTTGTGCAAATATTACAAGGAATGTGGCACAGTTGATGCTTTATCAGCCCCACGAAACAAATAACAGTGACAGAAGGGATGAAGAAAGGGAAGTTGCAGCACATGGTTCTAATAACACAGCCCTGTTACCTGTCAGAGCTATATTATCTATTGGATTTTGCATAAGAATCAGGTGCCTGCCTAGTCTATCTCTGCTTTGTCTGTAGAGAGACTTTTTCCCACACCAAAGTTGTATGAGAGCATCTGAAATGAATAATGCTTCAGCTATGTGTTCTCAAACCACATTATAGATTGGACCCCTTTCTGGATTACAGATTAACTCTTTGGGTACCCCTACAGCTGAACTTAGCCATTTTGGCCACCACAAAGACAACAAAGTTTCAAGCAGAAAATACAACTGATACTAGGAGACACAAGTCTTCTCCCACACGTTCTAATACCAGTCCAATTCATTTCTGTGGAAACTGGGGTTCAGCAGTGGTTCCCTCTACCACTGTCTGCAAATGGGCCCTTAGAAGCATTACATTCTCACAAACATACAGTGATATTTTTCTATGAAATTCCCTCGTTAGCTCCATTATTTACCCAAACGAAGATTTGCTTCTATCAATTTGTAGTATCCTAGGGTTGTATAAAAGGTCGAGGGGAGTGCATACACCACACTGTCCCCCAAAATGCAATTAATTGACCCATGCCATTCTGAACTCTTGAGAGGAACCATTGTGTGCCATGGAATAGTTGTGTATCAGAAATCTAAACACAGAATCATTACCATCAACAAAAAGTTTGTCCTGGAGTAAATACAGTAGGGATCAGAATACTTAGGGCTAAATCCAATTTCCTGTGCCTAAGTAGACATTCATTGCCATGTAACTGGCACTTGCACACAGTTTCTATTTCCACATATCATGGAATAGGATTGCTTAGGTATACAGGTATTGACTGAAAGTGAATAAAAATTGGGCTGTCCCCTGTGTTACCCTAATAACCTAGTGGCTAAGGCACTGGCCCAGGGTATGAGAGATCCAGGTTTTAGGTTGTCTCCTTCATTCAGAGGGGTTTAAACCTACATTTTCTACTTCTCTGCAAAGGGCTCTCACTACCAGTCCATGAGCTAAGTAATTAAACAAAGTACTTTCAAGCCCTCCTCTTGAAGCTGGCCCACTGGGCAGCCAGGAGGGAAAGATGTCGGGCTTGGAAGAAGAGAGCAACTTTTCTACAGTGTACTTCCTACAGTTCACTTTCCTACATAGGTGCACACAGAGAAGAAATACTATTTTATATCTGCTCAAGTGAGACTTGAGCTGCATGTATGCAAAAGAAAGGAAAGGGCAAGATTACTGTGAGAATCACAAATCAACATTTTCTGGTATTTATGTAATTACATTCTCAAAATAATTAACATTTTATTTCATTGTGCAAAAAATACCAGAGGGAACATCTTATGATCAGGAAAGGCCACTTGGCAAAATCCAAACGCTTTACATGAAAAATGTCAATTTTGATGAGATATCACTTGAAATAAGCAACTGGAACATATCATTTTGATAATATTAGTGGACTATAAAGTTCCTTTTTTATTTTGAAATGTGAGTTTTGCATATTTAAATAGTTGAAATTCAAGCACATTTTTTCAAAATGTAGTAGTCTAATCAAACCAAAACAAAAAATGTGTTTAGAAAATTCCTTTTTTTTTTTTTAGTTCGGCATTAAAACAAATGCCAAAATCTCAACAACAACAAAAAAAAAATTCATGGAAAGAAAATATCAAGTCCTGTGGTTCTAAGTTTACTGATTTTATGACAGCATATGTGCCTGATCCACAACTAGTATAATTCTTCATTTCAATCAGGGGATTCATAACAATTTACAGGACGTGTATGCAGTATTGACTTAAACCATGCACATCATTTTATTGCTTGATATGCAGCAACAATTTTGTGTGAATAATTCTGAGCAACTGTTGCACTACACTCACTCATTGCTCATCACTCTCTTGTCCCTCACCATAGTTTTGCACTGGTGTAAGTCATCAGAATTTAGAGCTTGATCCAGCTTTCACGAAAATACACTTTGAAACGTCAGTGGATTTTTTTTGCCTGTGAAAGGACAGCAAGGTTATGTCCATAGCAATCAATGCAGATAAGGAGCATTAGATGGCCCAATATTTACAGTGGCAGACAAAAAGAGATCATTTTAGCACCACAATGTACTAAGCAAGTTTACATAGCATTGGTTCCATATTCAACATATAGCTGTCATAAAAGACTGCATCAAGGTTGGCTACTCAACTTACTCATTGTGGGAGCCCTCTCCAGGAAATTCCTTGCTAAGTTTATAAAGCATTTTCTCCCCCTCAGTCTGTCCAGACACCTTGAGAGACAAGCTCATTTTTAAAAGAAAATGACCATGAATCAGGATGAGAACAATAGTTGGGGCCAGGGAGCTGAGCCACTGTTCATGCTTTGACTTACGTTGTCCATTTTAACACTGATCCATCCAAAGGACAATAGTTAGATAGGGGCTGTCATCATTCAGAGATGTTGGAAGAAGCTAATGTTTAGACTAAATACAGTGCTAGGCAGAGAGATACGACAGTAATAAAAAGAAAACCCAGGTGAGCATTTTGACATTTAAACATCAGATTCAAAGAAGGGTTTTATATACTGAAGATTATGGTTAAAAGCCTTTACTTACACGGTATTCAGTGATCTTTACACCAAATATCAAAACAATCAAATATATAGGTCAGATAAAAATGAAAGTTATGAAACTTTCTTTCACCAGTTCTGCCAAGAATCAAGGAATTTTCTTTCCCAAACAGCCTCATATAAAGCACAAATATGGGAACAAGTATTTCTAGTAAGAGCAGAAACTTTTATTGCATCATGCTGTAAAATATCTGTGCATAAAATTAGGGTGTAATCCTGGATCTACTGAGGTCAATAGGAATACTATGCCATAGCTCTGTTTTTTAGATGTCCTTACCCCTGGCATGATGATCTTTTCAATGTCTTTGAAAACATCCTCAAAGCTCTCAGGTTCCTGTGGTGCAGATTCTGGAATAAGGCATCTCAAGTATCCAGGCTCCACATCAGGGTAGACTGGTCTTTTGTGTATTGTCTCAATGTAATCTGCAATGTAGTCCACCATCTCTTTCCCCCTCTTTCGGAACTCTGTTGCATCCATGGTAATTGGCGTTTAAGTGTTAGTGTCAGGGGAAAAACCTACAAAAAAAAGAAGCCACATATGAAAGGGGGTGTTTTGGCTGCTTATGTAGGTGGCCAATTGCCTTTGGGCTCTTTGGAAAAAATTAGGTCACTTTTTAGTTATTTATATACAAGTCATGTTCATTCCATGCAGTGCTCTTTCTCCCAGAAGCGCTGGCAGGGTGAAGTATAGGGGTTAATAAATTTGTCAAAGCCTTAACAAAGGAACAGTGGCTTTGAGCTCATGTTTCAACCTACAGAAGTGACCGGTTCAAGCCTGCTACCATTATTCCACAGGGTTAAATCCCTTGTACAGTGCTTAAAAAGTCTCTGTATAACTATCCACTCATTCACATTCACTGAGCTGTTCTCCCTCAAGGCTAAGTACAGACATTCAAGGGTGTTAGGGGAGGCTAAATTGATTCAAAATGGCTGCCCAATATCAGATAAGTTGGGGGGGGGGCTAGCCAGGGGGTTGGGGGTCCAGC